TTGAATTTAAGAAATAACTACTGTGCTCTGAAGAAAGGATGACTAAACTATGAGCTTTTTCAGCTTACAAGCAACCATTGGCAACAACAACAAAAAGCCACCATAGTATTTGCAAGATATCTCAGAATTATGTAATTAACCTCAAGAAGAAAAAAAAAAATCAACAGGAAGAACAGACTTACAAATTAGTAAATCTGTCAACGAGTGCAGTGAGAATATTTGTTAAACCGAGAATCCTTCCAAGTGAAGCAAGAAAACATTGTCCAAAACAATTCTCTAGTTAAAAAAACTTGTATTCTAATTGAATTCATTCTGCAGCAGACTTGGTGGCCCAATCACTTATAGTTTATACTTCAATATAAAATCATTTTTTTGCAAACATGAAAGAATATTTAATTTGAGGCATGTCTGTGTTTTCTGGATTGTACTTAGACATAACGTTCAGAAGATAAAATTTAAAGAAAAAAAGGATTAACACCTTAATCATGAAAAAGTATTTAAGTGTAAGTGATCATCATACATTATGCTTAGTTAGTTATTACTTTGTTATACTGCACAGCTGAGGCATGAGCTATATTAATGTTTTAATTAGTTCTTTTTTTAAATATACTCTGTGGAAAACGTATGTATTTTTTTCTTGACATTTACATAATTGTATATCAATGCACATTCAGAATGGAACATTACATTAATTTGGATTAATGAGGATATAGTCACGCTTAGTTGATTACAGTTCATTATTTCAATTTTAATTTTAATTCCACAATGAGTCACTTGAGTTCTACATGTTTCATTGTACCTTTAGTTTCCATAACAAATGCTTAGTCTGTCAAGCCAAAATTACATATATGAAGTAGCTTTTGATTTTGATTTCCCTTTTAGCTATCAAAATTTTAAACACATTCCTCAAAGTTTGTATCCACCAGAGAAGCTGGTGATGGGCAAGAGGCTGGGAAAAGAAAAATATGTCTGCTCACCCAAACAGACCAAAAGAGATTCTCTATACCATACAGAATACCAAGCTCAGCAGTAAAAATGAAGATAAATGAGGAAGAGAGTGCATTCATTTAGGAAGCCTTAAAAGTAGCTGGATATCACCTGCTGATGGGAAGTAGAGATTTATTTTCTTTGCTTCCATAGAAGTTTTTTTTTCATCATACTTTGTCCCGGCCCTGCTTAAAAGAGGGAGAGAGAGAGCCTGGGCACCTGACCTGCGTGGTTGAACAAGTCAGACAAAAAAGCAGAGTGCAAGAGGCAAAAGATAGATCAGATAGATCAGGCGGCCTGCAAAAATACAGAATTGCCATCCAATCTTGCTAGGATAGGATTAGGAAAGCCAGAGTTGACCAGTAATTGAAACTGGCAGGGAAATTTTATAGCAACAACAAGGGAATTGACAAGTACATTAAAAAAATAAATATTTTTTTCACTTTAGTCCTTACATATTCAGTGCCATCAATATGATTGCAGAGATGTATTTTTAGTTGAAAAATTAATAGAAAATTTATTAGTTTTTTTTTTTTTTTTTTTTTAACTTGTAGTAAAGCATTCCTTTAACTCAAAAATAAATTTGGAGGGCTATTTTCTAAGCAAGCACGATTTTCAAGTGTGAAATTCAATTGTTCATGTTTTATTTACAAATACAATTTTTCAAAGATTACAATATTTTTGTTTGTGTTGCTGCTTCTATTTTGGCAAGAATCAGACCAATTGTCCTTATCACTTTTTCAAACACTTTCAGTTGTCTTAAATCTGTTGGTAGCTCAATTGTATTTGCCTCTTCCCATTCCCGGCTGCATAAATCATGAGTGTAAACTCCATTTGAGTCCTTCAAGACCATCCACTCAGTCTTAAATTGTGGAAGCACACAAAGGAAAAAGTATTCAATTAGCATCTGGAAGAGAGTAGAATTCAACAGGTACGAATGAAGCACTTGTCATTCTTTCTTCAGTTTTAGATGAAGACACCTATATATGAGCCATGTAAGCCTAAGCAATGTAATCTGCAGAGGCTAAATAAAAATCATCACAAGAACTTCAAGACTGACTCAGTTGACACTAAAGGCACTCAGGGAACAATTAAGTTTCCTGAAGTTGGCTTACTGTGCTGTATGGGTTCCAATACTACAGTGTAAATCTTGTAGTTATTTAGGTTCCATGGGAAAGGAATGACTTTCTGGAGCTAGAGACAAAATAGAATGCACTTGGGAGAAATGTAAAACAGCAGATGAGATCCTTGTTTAGGCAAGATATCTTGATGCCATGATCTGACAGCCGAACAGATTGCTAAAATCCTTTGATTGCCCAATTCTTATTTCAAATTTACAAAATTACTGAAGAGTAGAAGGACGCCTTTCTTTAAATTGACACATAGTCTTTGTTCATAGTGGCACTAAATGTATTTTTTTGCAGTATCTGTTTCAGTGTAATTAACAGGAATATTTCACAATCATATCACATTTCAGAAACTGTACTGAACATATTTTAAAAGGTATCTACTTCCTGTAGAAAAGAAAAAAAATAATGTATAACATTGCTTTTCAGTATTTGCAATCTGATTTCATACTTAGGTGTAGTAAACTAGAATCATAAAGTCAGAGAATCATTCAATCATAGAAAATCCTAAATTGGAAAAGAATCAGAATGATCATCAAGATATATTTCTGAGTAGGATTAAATATGATTTGTGATCATTTTTGAGATTGAATCTGTTCCTTCTGGGTCTTAAATTATATCCTCTATTGCCACCCTTCCCTGTACTAGCAATTCCTATCTATCCTATTTATTTATTTTTTTTGTAAATGTCATGTGTCTTGAATCATAAGGAATTAGACTGTCTGGCTAATAAAATGACACAACTTCATAACAACAACAACAACAACAAATCCATTAAGACAATATCTCCAATTGAGAATGATATATTGCTATATGGGAAAAATGGAAAAGGGTCAGGTTAACATATTTGACTAAGTATCAGGGTTAGGCAGAAATCCAATTTTCAATACTACTCTCGAGGAATTAATTATTTTTATAATTAGTAAACAATGAAGATGGCAATATTAGAAGCAAAAGAACTCCAACATTAGTATATTTTTAGACCCTTAGACTACTCACTGATACTCATTCTAAAGCACAGCACATTCAAGTGGAATATTCCCGACACACTAACTCATATAATCTAATTTTACTGAAGTCTGCTTCGCAATTCTGGGGAGCAGTGCCTTTGTCTGAAAAGACCTTGCTTTGAAATCAAACTAACTTTCACTTGATGCTGGGCCTTTAAATTTTCTTGTAGGTTATGTTTCTTTCAAACAGAAATTGAAGATGCTGCACATACAGCTTTGCATCTTCATTTTAAACCCTTATTACCTGTCAGATTTCTGAAAGCAACTGATTCTCCAGATTCTTTGTATTGGGTGAATTATTCCTAGAGACAAGTAAAGCGTACGTTCCGTAGTACATTTTAAGGGTGAAAAAAATCACTCACTGTAATTAAGTGATGAAAAATCTATCATTAATTTTTAAGTAATGATTCAGTGTTTATTTATAGTCATCCAGATTATCACAGCACCATTATTAAGAAATAAATAACACTAAATAACAGTAACAGTTGCCCTTATAAATATAGGAAGAGTAAAGAATTTTTAGCAATAGATAACTTCTTGTATGAGAAAAATACTACAGCTTATTTAAAAAAAAACACAAAATAGTAAAAATAAAGGAAAAAAACACTTTATCCTTGTAGGTTGAGCAACGAAAATGAACTCAAATCAAACTTGTAAGTTAAATAAACATTGTAACATACTTGCAGATGCCTTGTTCCTTTTCAAATCAGAAGTCTGCAATACAGATATTTTGCCTTTTTTGAATAACTAAAGGTGAAGACAGTTCCTTTAAAGTCTAGTAATTACAATTTTTAATGTGCAGCATCACTAAATTACTGCAACCACTAATAAACCAAATTTCTATGATACTCAAGAAGTACAGTCATTAGAACACAGTCATTTCTGAAAATAATGTTCTGAGAAAAAAAATGCTTTTAAACTTTTAGACAAGGGAGTTACATGGATTTTCCTAAATTTGCTGACATGTCAAGAAAAAACTGAAGAATACAGCATGTGTGAGATATAAATTAAAGTTTATGACAAAGGGAAGGTTATACAACCATATGTATTTTCCCTGAACTATTCTATCTGTTCTACAGAGAAGACACATTCCTCTTAGCCTTTTAGATGCCTAGAGAATCGTTTTTAATCTTAGGAATTTATGTTATATTCATCACAGGCTGAAATGAGTATAAAATTCATTTTATGCAGAACATATGCAGAAATTTTGCAATTTGAGGCAGGCAACTATCAATACTTCTGCAAGAGCAATTATATGACCCCAAGTATATTCAGATAGCTTAAGCTGGATATATCAAAACACTAAGTATGAACTGTTCTGCTACATGCAGAATTATGAATTACATGCAAAGCATTAAAATAAATGTCAGCATCAATTTTGAATATCTAATATTATACTAATTTAGTATATTTGTACATATCAAAATTTTTGGCATTAGTTCTGTAAAAATGTAATGATTAACAGCAACACTGTCAAGTCCAACATGTTGGCAACGTCAAAGTACTCCTATGGTTACGTGCAAACACAGATGATGAGGTAGAATTTATTGTGTTTGTAAAAATTACTTTGTATGTGCAACAATTCTCTATTTCTTGCTAACTTCAAAAAACAGCAATTTTCTTTGCACTATTCAGTCTCTCTTTTAGTGTGTTTCAGCTTAATGTGCAGGTGATTAAAGATGACATAAATCAACCCTAAAGGTACGTAACACCTTGAGCTCCTTAGCAAGATCAAGGTTCTATCTGAATTAATATTGATTTATCCTCCAAAAAGCAAATGATGCTGTGTCCTTTTCCCTCATTTAGTCGAGGCCATCGCTATAAAATTAAAACCCAAGAAAAAGACCTCTCCACTGTGGTAGGGAATGAACTATACCTGTGAATCCAGGAGAACAGAAACACTGATAGCCTCCAAGCCTGTTGATGCAGCTTCCTCCATTCAAGCAAGGCAGAGTTTCACACTCATTTACGTCTATCTCACATAGAGACCCATAGTATCCAGGTGTACAATTACAGAGGAATCTTTAGAAAAGAGAAAATCTGGTCACTCAACAGAAGCAAATAACATAATTTATCCTAATATTCTGAAGCTGTATGTTCTTGATGTCAAGCTCTCATCCCTAGTCACAATTCATATTAAAATAATTAACAGGCTCTTCCCATATGCATGTTTCTAAAGCAAGAACAGATATTCAGTGCCTTTTTCAGGTTAGTAGGAAAATACTGAACAATAATTTTAGCTGGACCTACCCAAAACCACACGAAGGCTGATAGCTTGACACAAGTCTCTGAGAAACTGTAGCACTGTGAATACACACACAAGACATAGTATTTGTCTCCCAATTGCACTTTAGTAGTAAGCAGTTACCTTAGAAAATGTCATTCCTGGACACTCTCTTTTCTGAGAAATACAGCTATCTAACTGAAGATCAATTATGTTATTTCATTTCTTTCAAATTTAAAAGAAAAAAAAAAATCAGATCACCTCAGAAACAAAAAGTTGAATTAGCAGAATTTGCCTTTTTTTTTAAATAGAGAATCCTTGCCAAAGGTCTCATCTTAGCCTTAACGCAGGGAAGTAGACTTCATAGATAAAGAAATATCTGGGTTTTTTTTGGGGGGGTCATTTATTGATAGTAACTAACCTGTTTATGAGGTCCAGACAAGTCCCACTGTTTTTACACGGTCTTGATAAGCATTCATTAATCTCCACTTCACACAGTGTCCCAGTGAAGCCATGCTGACAGGAGCACCTGGCAAAAAGGATGTCACTGTTTTACTTTCCATTTTACCATAAAAAGATTCCTGAAAAACACGTGGCATATTTTTGAGAGCTATGAATCAGCTCCAAAATTATGTATTTTTTTCTGAACATTAGAAAGTACTTTATCTAATCAAACTTTGTAAGTACAGTAAACTTCAGCATAGGAAATAATATTTTTATCATTATTAGTTGAGGACTACAGATTCTGTGCTGATCCAGCTGCGAAGGAACTCGAGGCTGGCCTTGACTTGAGGTGGTTTTTACTTATTTTGAGAACTACCCTGGGACCAGGTGACTGCTGCCTCTCCTACTTTAGCTTCAGCTCTTGAATTAGCACCTACGGTGAGAGTATAACCCACTGGGACACTCATGATGTTACAAACATCATGGTGTTACACTCATGATGTTACCCCTGTGTGCTGGGGGAGCTGATAAACAGCACTGAAGAAATAAATCGTGATAAGGAAACATACAAAAATAGCTTCAATCAGGTATAAGACTGAAGACCACACAACTACCCTCTGGCAAAGACTTTCAAATACCAATGATTTACAAAAATGCTGCCAGTTCTTGAGTAAGTCTGATACCCCTGGTCCCAGTATCCAGACAGACTTTGTGAGAAAGACCATAACAAGCACAAGGGCTATATAACTATGTTGTTATAAGCTGCTTTATATTAATTTGGACTAGGAATATTAGTTTTATTGTAACCCAATTAGTAATAGCTGTATTTATATGTGATTAGATTGTTAAGGTTTTCATCAGCCTAACAATAAATTCTTTTTGACCACAAGAATATTTTAAGTGTAACACAACATGTAATGTGTCAAACTCATCATGAAGAAAAAATGCATTACATAATTGAAGGGCAGCAAACATAATACAAGCAAAGGACTGAAATAATAGCTAAATGATAAATATTCATGTATCATACTAGGTATCTGTTGCTCAAGTAATTTTCCTCACCTGTAACTGTTAATGCCATCCACACAGAGGCCTTCATTCTGGCATGGATGGGAGATGCACTCATCGCTGTTAACTTCACAGTAAGTACCTTCATATCCTGAAGCACAGATTATATGAACTATGAATTACTGAGTTCCACCACATGATTTGAAAATAAGGGTCACAGATCCTCTTGTAAGTTGGGTTCTCTGAGATCAGGACCAATTTTGAAAATGCAAGTGCTTAAGAAACCTCGGACAGCACGGAAGCTATTAGAAAAATTGCTGAGAAAAACATCAAGTCCCCTTCTTGCGGTTGCAGCCTATGTATCTGTTGTTCTCTATGCTGACTTTAGCTTTCAGACCCTTAGACTAGCTCCTTGGCTTCACCTCAAACCTGCTCCACTGCTGTAGGTTTCACTGGTGATCTGGCATGCCAGTCTAATCATATAGATGGTTATCAGTCCTGCTCTTCTCACCTCATTCAGGTCATCAAGATGGGATCCTTGATGGTGAGGTTCCTGTTCTGGCATGCTTGATAAGAATCTCAGTTCACCTTTGCTTTCAGAGCAGCCCACCCTCACTGCTCTCCTATTCTAAAATCAGCTGCAGTAAGTGGACTCCATCCAAAACAAATTTTTCTCCAAATATTTTCATTCAGAACCTACAAGTTCATTTCCAGAGACTAAAGAAGCTTTATCATACTTCTATGAGCCAGAAAGTTCAGATTTGTATGGAGCATCTGGATACTGTGAAATGTAACTGAAAAGGCTTTCCTGGGGGTGTGTAGAACACTATCAGAAATGAAAACCTAATAAAAATCCAGAGCATAATGAAAGTTTAGAGAGACCAAATTTATCTAAGGCAGTCAGAAAAAGAAAAAAATTAACTGATTTTAGGATTTAGATGAACAAAATATGTGACTTGTTAAGATTTTATATGGAATAACCTCTTAAACTTTCAAGATACAATGTAATGGAGGAGCATGCTTCTCCTGTGTAAAATACCACAGTTGTCACCGAAATACAGAAAAAGAAAATTGGAGACATTCATCAATCTGCTTCCTCATGACAAATCCACTTCATTATGGATATTTTATAGGCTTTTTGGGTAAATAACACTGAAATGAAAATATAAAACACCATTTAGACAAATACTTGAGTGCGGTAGCATATGCTATTCCAGTCCATAGCAAAATATAACTACCTTGAAAGACATAAGTGAAATAAACACAGAGAAGGCGTGGCTTTTTATTGTATTTGTACTGGAGAAAAATATTAGCTTCATTACAGAGTTTAACCATCAATTTACTACATTATGATATAATAGCTGTGTGTTTAAGCTAATATTGAATCTTGCCTTTTTAACTCTAATTCACATATATCTTTAAAAAAAAATCAATCTCATTTTTCTTAATCATGTATGCTGAAGCTAAAAAGACATTGAATTATTTGGATAAAAATTTAATCTACAACTTAAAAAAAGCAGCCTTTGAACTTATGCAGAAACTCAAAAGTTAACCTTGATGGCAAATTTTACAGAACATTTCAGCAAAAACCTTTTGCTTTCAACTTAAAGTATTTAGCAGTACATTTAAACCTACTTAAAAGGACATACAAATATTATCAGTGCTATTTAATTCCATTTTACACGATTTTTGCATGTCTATTATAATTTATTAAGTCTGCTAAAAGGATGTGTCAATCAAAGCACAGGTTAATTAGCCAGTTTCACAGAGAAACTTACAGAAATAAACAGCACACAGTACATTGCTTGTAGAAACAAGATGGATCAAATCACAAAATATCTACCATTATATTAAGATCAAAATATATGTAGTGTTTATTTTATGACTGTATTTGGACATAACACAATATACATGTACACAAACATAACACAATCATAACACTTTCAAATCCAAAAGAATATTCAAAATGATCACTAAGCTTAAGAAAAAAATTACTGTGATAGTTTATTTCAAAATGATCACTAAGCTTAAAAAAAAAATTACTGTGATAGTTTATTTGCTTTAAGACTATGAGAGACTCCTGGGTCTAACCTCCATGGACATGCAGTTCTTGTATTTTACATGGTAGTCAAATTTCATTTAAAGGTCACTGCAACATATTAATATATTTTCTGTAAGTTACAAATAGTGTATACATATACCCATGATCTTCTGGGGTATTTAAACTAAAATTAATTTACAGATGCAATTTTTCTGTAATGCAGAGGTTTTCAGTTTATTTCACTTGGGGGAAAAACAGATGTTTGAGATTTAAAATGACTTTAAATACTTAAAGGGCCAAATATAATTCTGAACCTAATATTTTTATTTGTAAAGCAATTTGAATATCTAAGTAAGCATTCACTTTGTGTAGCCAACAAAATAAAACTTAATTGGTAGTTTATATGGCAAATATACTTTATTCATTTGAATCACAAAAAAAGTCATTCTTATTTTAAGCAAACTATTTTGTAAAGCAGTACATTACTTAAAAGCCTGAAAATATGCATGTTTCTGTAATGTATTGTTACAGTAACAATATTTAGTACTATATTTAAGAAAGTAATATGCACATTTAAATGCAGCTACTTTCTGCCTTTGCTAGTGCAAATCAGTCAAACTAAGATCTGGACTGTAAATCAATACCACATGCAAATGATTTGTTGCAGCTCTCCAGCCATATACTTTAAAAGGTAGCTATTGCAGATTTCAAACCTGAGTGACATATTAAAAATGCAATTTTTGACCTTAACGGTTTTTTTTAATGTGCAAAAACTAAAAGCTTTCTGAACTCAGTTCAAATTACTCTGAACTTCTAAATGAGAAGGAATATCTAATCAATAGAGAAGAGCAAATGGCACACTCTGGCACTTTAGAAAACAGAATTCCATTTATCCATTAGCCAATTCATGGGGAGCTGTTTAAAATTTCCAATATTGAGTTTAATAAATTACCCTAATAAGGATGGATAATCAAGTTGTTGGGTTTTTTTTTTTTTTTTTTTTTTCATAAAGAATAGTCAAATGTTACTGTAAATCTGAAAATCTAGAAATGAGTAAGAGGCAGACAGAATCTCACTGATATTACAAAGTTTCAAGTAGAATCTTCCTTATAGAGCAGTTATTCACGTTATGGAAAACAAAATAAGATATAGGGATACAATACTTAATTTTAGATTCACTTATTTATCACCAAAAGGAAAAACCTTTAATTATTTTTGAGGAATTGAAATATGATGGCTGCTCCAAAAATAATACCTCTCCTACTGGTCACAATGCCAGAGGTAGATGGTGGTGATATGGCAGTAGAGGGTGAACCTTCCTGCATTCAGTTACATTTTGTTGCTGCCTGACAGATGGCGGCAGTGAGGCAGTTTGACAAAATGGAATCTGACACAGAAGTGCCTATGAAGCAAAGGTCTGTCAGTGAATTCCTTCATGCAGAAAAAAATGTACCATTCATATCTGTGTTTTGCTGAATGTTTATCGAGACCAAAAAGAGAATATGAGCACAGTGAGGTGATGGGTTATGCATTTCAGCAATGACACCAGCATAACAGCTGTAAGACAGTAGGTCACCTTTGCTTATGCAGAGTTTCTCATTTCAGAGAAATACCACAAAATTTACCTTTTCAGGCAACAAAGAGGACTTATGGGATTCTTTATGAGCTTTATGTATCTGCAGAGCATTGTGGACTTTATTTGTCAGTATCTATTAAACAAGGTTTGCAAGCAGCAGAGATATCACAATAAACTAATTCATACCTATGAAGTCTTCGCATTTTTAGGCCCAGTGCTTCATACTATATCAAAATACATATTGTTGAACTCTTGAGTGTTACATCAGGTAATTCTCTGAAGTAGCCTGCTTCACTATTAGCTGAATCGCTGTCTATTGCCTGTGCTTGTTGTGGTTTAACATCAATATGTAACTAAGCTCCATCACATTACTCTCATTCCTTCTCCTTATCATAACAGGATAAAATACTATGAAAAAACTTCACAGGTTGAGATAAGGACTGGAAGATCACACACCAGTTACTATTACGGGAAAAACAAATTTGGTATAAGGGAGGTTCATGTAATTTTTTGCCTATTGCTATTATCAGACTAGAAAAGTAAGAAGCAAAAGCAAAATTATGTTACCTCCCCTCTTCCCCTCACCTTCTTCTACCTCCTCCCTCCAGCAGTGCAAGGAAATGGAGGCTGCAGTCAGTCACAAAATTACGGAATTGCAGGGGTTGGAAGGAACTGCAAGAGATCATCAAATTCAATGCCCCTGCTAAAGCAGATAATTACAATAGATCTCACAGGTAGGCATCTGGACACGTCTTGAATATCTCTACAGAAGAAGACTCCACAACCTCTCTTGACAACCTGTTCCATTGCTCTATCACTCTTATTGTAAAGAAATTCTTCTGCATGTTATTACGGAACATCCTGTGTCCAAGTTTTAGGGCATTGTTCCTTGTCTTGTCACTACACATCACTGAGAAGAGCCTGGCCTCATCCACTTGCCTCCCACCTCCCTTTAGATATTTATAAACATTAATCAAATCCCCTCTCTTTTTCTTCTTTTCCCCAAGCTGAACAGACGCAGGTTACTCAGCCTTCCCTTACAAGGGAAATGTTTCAGGCCCTCTATCATCTTCGACCATAATACTTCATTTCTGCTGCTCCTTCATGGTCACTTCTTTGCTCCTGTCCCATGTTGGGTCCCTCTCATGCGCTGCTGTCTTTCTCCAGCTGATCCCAGGCAGACTTTCCACGGGCGGCAGCTCTTCAAGCACTGTTCCAACATATCTCTGTACCACAGGGCCCATCCTTCAGGAGCTGCTCCAGCACTGATCCCTATGGGCAGCAGTTCTCCCAGACCACCTGTTCCACTATGGACTCATCTCCACAGGCTGCAGTTATAGCCCAAGGCTGCTCCTTTCGGGACTCTCCATGGGCTGCAGCTTTCTCCACGCCACATCCACTGCTGCACTGTGGGCTCTTCCATGGCTACATGGGGGGGATCTGCTCTGTACGGTGTCCATGGGCTGCAGGGGTCGGTATGCTCCACCATGGACCTCTTCTGGGCTGCAGGATGCTTCTGCTCTACTTCTGGAGCACCTTCTGCCTTTCTCCTGCACTGCACTGACCTTTGTGGCTGCAGGGTTTTTTCCACTCATATTCTCTTAGTCTCCCACCTGCAGTTGTGCAGCATTGTGTCTCTGTCCTAAACCTGCTTTCTCGGAGGCATCCTCAGCATTGCTCAGGGCTCTGCTCTGGCCGTGGTGTTTCCCTTTTGGAACAGCTGGAGCTGGCTCTCACCTTATGTGTGGCTGCTGCTGTGATCTTCTCAGAGGCCACCCCTGCAACACTCTGCTACCAAAACCTTCCCACAGATGCCTAATACAGCGCACATCTAGAAAATTTACGAAATTGTGCAGGCAGTCGACACAAATATTAAATATCTTTTTCATTCTAAGTAAAAAAAAAAAAAAACCAACAACCTTCCTTGCTCATTCACATCATGTCATATGCTGCTATATTTTGCAACTCTTGATAAAACAGATTCAAACTATCTAATTGACTGGATAATTAGCTACATATCATGCAAGTCTTTTAATCAGAATGTCATTGGTACTAAGTCAGGTATCTTGAAATATTCCAACAATGTCAGTTGTGATTACCCTTTGTAATCAGATCTGTAATTCTGGTAGGCTTATCAGGAGAGAAAGGGATACACATGGTAAAAAAAAAAAAAAAATAAAAAGAGAAAACGACACCTTAGAAAATGTATTACCATAAAATGCCTTCAATTAGATTTTTATATTTTACTGTCTCTCCTGTTTTGAAACTCCTTAATAAGCGATGGCGTTTCTTTGAGCACTATTAACTCTTCATAATTTTTGCCTTTTAGCCCTTTTCAATACTGAGATATTTTTAGTTTTCCAAGATTTGTTAGTTATGCATTTTAACTGGTTCAGATCTCTCCAGCTAGCTCCCTGAAGATTTCTGAAAATTCCCAGCTAAAAGTTTCAAGCATCCTTGAAGATTCCTTTAAATTTCCATTAGAATATTGGCTGCAAGGTTTTTGTATTCTTAAGAAACTGTTTGCAAGTATGTTTGGAGGAAAAGATTCAAACTACATGACTCCTTACGGATCTTCCCTGAAAAAGTCTTCAGGATCAATATACTGTATTGAAAGCTGTTTTTTCTTGTTTTCATAGTGTTCAGTGCTATACTTTCATTCAATAAGTAGCTCACACACTTTCTCAGTGACTTATTTCAACTCTGTAACTTACGGTAATCTCAATAGTAAAAAACCCATGTTATAAATATAACATATTTTCCCTGCGTTTTTGCAATTCAGGAAGCAATAAGATGAGTGATAATACTGCAGTGTAACACATCAAATATTGTATTTGCAATCTTTGGCTTCTAGGACTCACCTATAACCTGACTATTTTTATGTATTTTTTACACATTGACTTCAATATCCTACTTAAATTCCAAATTCATTAATTCTGTACTTACTATTCTCTCTACTGCAGTTTTAATTAAAGTATTCTTTAATTCCCATACTGAATTTTTTAGAGATGTTTAGCACAGCTAAACTATTCCACCTTAGAATTTCTTGTACACTGCAGGAGAGATTGTGGCTTTTAAGCCGTGGGACTGGAAAGCTTTAAGTACTTGCTGTGTATGGAGACAGAGAGCAATCTACATTTTCAGTCACTTTAGGGAAGATTATTTCTCTGATGGGCCAGATCTTCCAGACATCTCAGCAGGAAGAGGAATCAATTCCAACTTTGTCCAATTTTTGCACATCTTTTAGAGATGTTGTGCACAGTTAAACTGTTCCTCTGCTCTGCATTAGAATTTTTTTGTACACTGCAGGAGAGGTTGTGGTTTTTAAGCCATGGGCCAGGAAAGCTTTAATTACCCATTGTGATTTTGGCTGTTGTGTATGAAGACAGACAACAATCTACATTTTCAGTCAAGGGAAGATTATTCCCATGTTGGGGCAGGTCTTCCAGACTTCTTAGCAGGAAGAACCAATTCCAACTTGGTCCAAATTTTGTACTGATTCAGCCTGCCTGTTTTGTCAATTTGGTCTATCAGCTCTGCTGATCAAATTCATGTCTATCTTTTTAGTAACAATTGATTTAAAAATGGTAAGTCTGAATACTGGAGTATGAACAACCACAGATTTAATAAGTATTGTAATACAATAAATTAATATTAGGCAAACTGACCACTATTTTACTTGCTATAATTCATGAAGATTTTATGTGCTTTGAAAGGTATACATTTTCAATGAAAATAATAAGTTCAATATGTATTTGCAAATATTCTGCAGTGCAGACAATAAAGAATGTTAATTACACCAGCTCTTACCTGTTTTGCAAATGCACATGGGATTTCCATCAGCTTGTGCCAGGCAAGTTGAGTTGTTTATGCATGGATTGTAAGGCAGCTCACAAGGACTGAAGCGCTGATGGCAAAAGTCACCAGTATAAAATGGAGGACAGATGCATACAAACTGTCCCTGCTTAACAGATTCATAACAGGTAGCTCCATTCAAGCATGGTTCAGAATCACATTCATTTATGTCTTCACTGCAGTCTGGACCTGTCCATCCTGCTGTACACAAGCATCTGAAGAAAAAAAAAAAAAAAAAAAGAGGCAACACATTGGACAAAGGAAAACCCACAATTTATCCCAATTGATTCCATATATTTATATAAAAAACAAATCAAGAATCCACTGTGAATAGCTTTTTTACTATCAGCTTGCACTACGAGAAAAAGTTATGTTGAGGTTCTTCTTCCACAGTTCATTTATGTGAAGACAAAATGAGTTATTGTGAGTCACTAGATTTATCCACTTGAATTATATCCAGTTTATTTATGCTGACAGAATCACCTGTGAATCTTTTCTAAGCTGTTACACAATAACAGAAATTGTCAAACATGGAATACAATATTCTTCTAGTTTCAGGAATGGAAAGACAACTTTTCATATGTGTGAAATCTCTAGATAGGTATTCCACTGTTTAGGATGAAATGTGGCAGGCAACATTCAGTAACACTTCTAAGAAAGAAGGCAGTTGATCAAAAGCACAATAAGAATGAAGAATCTTTTTTTCATGACATTCCCTTTTTCTGAACGTCCATGTGAAGGGCTAATGACAAAAAAGAAAAGCCTACATTTTATCTCGTCATTAAGAATTTACTTCCATGAACTTGATAAGTATCTGTTTTTATTTGCAACAAGAATTTAAGGTTCTAAAAACGCAAAGATTACAATTATTAATTGTAATAATTTCAAAGTTTACAAAGAAAATTTCCTCATTAACTGCAATAAATGAAGATTCTGTTCTGCATTCTACATATCTAACTAATGAATTCAACTACTCACTGCCTGCCTATTTAAATATGATTTGAGCATATTCAATCATTGAAATGAAACTTGTCCGAGGCACAAAATACTAATGTAATGCTTCTCTGTATCAAAGCAAGACATTATTAAAGGCCTTCTTGTTTTACAAAGTTTTTTGATAATATATTTATTTTTTTTCATATATTTTTGAGCCTTTAAATGCCATTATACACGAAGAGTATGCACTTTGAAAAGTATACATCCTTTTTACTTTCACTGAAGATAGCAGTAAATTCCACATTAACTGGAAAATATTTTGCTCTACAACAGACAATGTGAAAGGTTAACTACAGCAGCTCTTACTTGTTTTGTCTGAGGTTGCTTCCAGGCATTAAGCCATTCAAATATAGCTTGATATTTCTACTTTGATAAAAGAATGTTTTCTTAAACAATAAGAAGAACATTCAATGGTGGACGCAGGTATATTTGCCACACAAAATGAGAACTTGGCCCCTTTAAAACAGAGTGTTTTCTTTGGAATGTTTAATTTTCTGTGTGATTGGTTTGTGGGGTACAATATCCATGCTACATCAAATGAAATGGTTATTACTAAGGAACTTTATCATTTCAAAGTCTGGACTCCTTCAGCAATGAAGACACAAAATTAAGTTACTGCATCTTATTAATGGGAAGAAAAATAGTCTTTTCTAAAAAGACCATTTCATTCATTACATTAGAAAGCCAAGATGATTTTTAGGCTACTTGAGCAAGTAAGCAAACAAATAAATAAAATTTGTTATTTATGATAAATAAATAAATATTTACATATTTATATATATACACAAATAAGAGTCACTGCTCAATTTCTGCAAATTTTACCAACTTCTAAACTCACATAAAAAGTTCTATTAGTGCTAGCAAAATATCATTAATGTTTTCATATAGCTGTTAAGGAGCAAAATGCAAATATGAGAGATATTCTTTGTGTTTATTCCTTAATATGTAAACTTTCAATTTCTTTTTTTCATTGATACTATTTAAATAACGACAAGCTTTATAAAAGCAAATCTTCACAGGGCCTTTCTTATAAGAATGTCAGTATTTGTGAAAAGATGACAAAATCTAACATTAAAAAGCAACAAATTGCTAAACAGAGCATATTATACATCTCCGGAACAACTATGGAAACATAAAACTTATTTTACAGTTATGCAAATGGAATCTTATGCTTTCCCTCTTTTAAAACACCTGTTTAAAAGAATAGTAATAAGAAGATAATTCATCAGAAATATCAAGAATGGTGTTATACTCTTTTTGCTCTACTCTATCAGTTGTGAGAAGAACCTGAAACTTATTGAAATGGTATTCTAGTTTTAAACAGCAGAACATTCTTTTGAACAGAATAATTTATAGCATTTTCATAAAGAGGAAGCATATACCAGCAGATGTAATATGACAAACAAGAATTAAACTGATTTAAAATTCTTAATTTTAGTTAATTACTCTTCCTTCAGAATCTGTATTAAATATTTCCTTTTGAATAACTAAATTCAAACACATTGATATTCCAAAATCAAATAACACACAATTATATTCTTTAAACTATTTATTTAGGTTATAATATATATCCATATATTGTTTTAAATGTGACTTTAATATAGAGATTAGCTTCTATAAATATAATACATTAACTTTCCATATAGATTTCCCAAAGTTAAAAATGATGAGATCCAACTTCATTACCCTCTGCAATTTCATGAGGAGGGGAAGCACTTAGTGCTGTTCTCTTCTCCTGGAGACAATGACAGAACATGTGGAAACACCACAAACCTTCAGGGGAGGTTTAGACTAAACTATGGGAAAATTTATTTACTGTAAGGGTAGTCAAATACTGGAAAAGGATTCCTAGCAAGATGCTTGATGCCCCATGCTCGTTGATGTTCAAGAGGCATTTGGATTACGCTCTCATTAATGTGCTTTAACTTTTGGCTAGCCCTGAAGAGGTCAGGCAATTGGACTCAAAAACATTTGAAAGTCCTTTCCAATGTAACTCCTCTATTCTACTCCATTCTAGGCAAATCATAGGTAAGAATTTTAGGAATCACAGAACAGAGAATGCTGGAAGATGTCATTAGCTGACCGTCTGTGAAACTATTACTTTGTGTAGTAGTAAAGAACACTGTGCAGTTTTGGGTGCTGCAATATAAGGACACAAAACTGTTAGAGAATGCCCAAAGGAAGGCTAAAATGGTGAAGAGTCTTCAGTGCAAGATGTATGAGGAGCAGCTGAAACCCCTTGGTTTGTTCAGCCCAGAAAAGAGGAAACATGAGAGAAAAGAAGCCTTATGGGGGGAGGGGAAGGGCAATGTTGATCTCTACTCTCTGGTGACAGTGGCACGACCAGTGGGAATGGCATGAAGCTCCATCGTGGGAGGATCAGGTTGGGAAAAATTTCTTCACTGAGAGGCATGTCAGGCACTGGAATGGGCTCCCCAGAGACACAGCATCAAGCTGATCAAGTTCAGGAAGCATTTGGACAACGCTCACAGACATAAGGTTTGATTTTTAGGTGGACCTGTGTGGAGCCAGGAGTTGGACTTAATGATCCTTTTGGGTCTCTTCCAACTCAGGATATTCTATGCTTTTATGATTCTAGGTTGCTGGGAATAAGGATCAAGAAGAGCAGGTTGTTCAGGTTTGTGCCCGGTTGGGCTTTGAGTATCTTTAAAGTTTGGAAAGCTCATAACCACTCTGAGCAACGTGCTGCAGGGCCTGGGTCTCCCTCACAGTCAAAAAACATTTTTTTTTTTGTGATTAAGTGAATTTCATCTTATTCACCTCATGCCCATTTCTTTTTGTCCTCTCACTGGATTGCACTAAGAAAACTCAGGCTCCAACTCTTTAATTTCCATCCACTCATTATTTATACATTTTGCTAAGAGGCATTCTGAAGCAAAGACATCTTTACAGGAACCTATTTTGAATCTCAGAATTCTAAAGTGTCCTTCTATCAATTAGAAAAGCCTACTGGTGTGCTCATTCCTACCCAGTTCAGCTAAAAAATCTGGAAAAATATCAAATCTTAACAAAAGCAGTAATGCAGATGATTACACTCTAGCAAAACACGTTCCATAAGGAACTGTTCTTGCTTTGAAATATCTTACATAAGAAAAACAGAAGAAATTGGCATTTTGAGCCCTAGTTCCATACATATATATATCAAAGTACTTGCCTTTTCACAGATAACATCTGCAAAAAAAAAAAAAAAAAAAGATGATACATGGATGATGGAAAAAAAAGAAGAAAAAAAAAAAAACAACATAAAACTACCTATAGTAGAACTGTTCTTTCTTTAGGGGCTCAGTCAAAGCTACTAGAATCCTGAACCGAACCCACGATAAAATGTGGCCATCATTCACCTACCTTTCTATTTGATAGGATCTTGATTAGAATGGGCAGTATGTTGAGTGAAGTTTAGGTCAGCCTGTTAGCTATACAGTACATGCAGTAATGGTCCATTTTATAGCTAGTTTGTATTCTCTAGCACATCGAATCACGTCAGCTAGCAGCATGAAAAGCTGCAGTGCTCAATAACAAATTTAATCCTTGTAAACTGGAGGCTCTTGATTGTCTGAAGTAGTAAAATGAGAGCTTGCTTTCCATACATGTAAGGTTTTGAATTTAGAAAACTGTCAGTAACATGCATCACAGAATTCTGGACATATATTTCCAGTAACTATAAGAGGCCTCAAAAATTCATTTTTCTTGCTCCTATTTCCTACACAAACATTTTTCTTCTATGATAGTTTAAACATTCTTTGTTCCTCAGACAGTTGTGACCCATCTTACGTACTCCATCTTGCACCTGTAAAAGCCCCATTATGAGGCTATCTCTGATATTCATTTGGTGCTACTACTTCTCCATTTTTCTATGCCACTCCTAAATGCTTGCCTCAAATTCCCACATCTCTCCTACTTTCCTCCAAATTCCATCTTGAATCTCTCTTTATCATCACTCATATTCCTTCTCAATTTACTTTATTCTTAAACTCTCCATTTGTAAGCCATTAAAGCCACTGCTTGACCTGAGCTGGGTATCACTGCTTTAACCCCTAATGCTTCAGCCCACTGATTTCTATTTCCCCTACTTTAATTTTATTTCAGCCCCTGTGAGGTGAGTCTATGCCTGACAAACAACAGGTCTTGGTATACAACAAGCTGAGGGATTAAGAGAGCACTACAAAGCTGCAGCTGGTAACCCAAGAGAAGGAAGTTA